ATTCATTCCCTTACTACTTTATGGAACAGTTTGAGAATACCTGTTTGTGAATCTAGAGAGCTTCAATAATGACTGGCCTGGCAAGGCATGCCCACTGGTGCAATAGTGGCACAAATGTTATGGGAGTAACCAACTACTTTCACACTGAATTTAAGGCCTGCTCCACAAAACTCATACCTGGCACTGTTATCAGGGCCAAGAACCTGTGGCTAACAGATCATATACCCTAAGGGAGAACCCACTACTATTATTCAGCTAAATGGACATAGTCTTAAACAGATTCTTACTTATTATACACATAGATTAGTTCATTTCTTAACCCTCATCAGAGAAGCTTCTTTTTGCAGCAGATAGTTGTTAACACAACAATCAACAACTGGTCAAGGTGCAGAGAATAAGAGGTTGTATAATGCTCAGCCCTAAATGGGACATCTATATCATAAGTACCCTCTTCTCCCAAGGCTTAGGGATCATTGCAGAAGGGGGTAGAATGATTGTAAGAGCCAGAGACTGTGCATGAGTATAAGGAAAAAGTGTTTTTCAGACACAGCAGGGAAGGTACACATATGAACTCACAGGGGTTGTGACAGCATGCACAAGACCTGTTCAAGCTCAAACCAGACAGTATCTCAACATGCAGGGAGAGGGGAGGTAGGTAAGATGTCCCACCTCTAGCCAAAGAGCTATTGGCAATTGATAGCGTCTGGGAGCAGGAGAGTCAGTCTTCTTTAAGAATCTGTTTCCTGGAAGGTCAACCACACTCCAGCGAATGACCACACACTCAAGAATATATTAGCTGCACAAATTGGACTCAGTGTTTATTTTTTTAATGAAAAAGAAAGGACACAATTGTTGGGTGGGTAGGGATGGAGATGGTGGACCTAGGCAGAGCTGGAAGGGGAGTGATCAAAATACATTGTATGAAAGTCTCAAAGAACTAATAAATTTTTAAAAAAGAAGAAAACAAATGCTGGTGAGGATATGGGGGGAAAAGAACACTTGCACACTCTTGTGGAACTCTAAACTAGTCCAGGTACTATACAAATCAGTATGTGAATTCCTCTAAAAACTAAAAATAGAGTTACTGTTTAATCTTGCTACAAAGCTTTGGTTTTATTCCTGAAAGAGTCAAGATAGATTTCTAAAGAGACCTGCACACCCATGGCTGGATATGGAATCAGCCTAAGTGGGACAGAGCTATCCTACTAAATTACATTGGGTATTAAAGGAGGAATAAATGTGAAAGAGAGTGGGATGGGGAAGGGGCTTAGAATCTGCATGTCAGTAACAAACACTGAGAAAGAAATCAGAGTAACAGTCCCATTAGTACATTCACAGTTGCTTCAAACAAACAAACAAACAAACAAACAAAAAACCGACATTGGAATAAACTGAACCGAGGAAGTGAAAAACCTCTACAATGAAAAATTCAAATGCTGAGGAAAGAAATTGAAGTAGATACTTCAAGTTGGAAAGACCTCTCATGCTCATGGATTAGAAGAATTAGCATGTAAAAATGGCTTCCTTACCAAAAACAATCTACAGATTCAGTGTAGTCCCCATCAAAATTCCAATTCCATTCTTTAAAGAAATAGAAAAAAAATAGAAAAATCATACAGAAGCCCAAAAGACCCCAGATACCCAAAACAATCCTTAGCAAAAGAATAATTCAGGAAGTATCACAACTGATTTGAAGTAATACTACAGAGCCATAGTAACAAGAACAATGTCACACTGTCTCAAAACAGATATGTCAATGAGTGGATTAGAGGACCTAGATATAAATTCACACTATAATTGCTTGATTTTTTTTTTTTGCACAGATGCCAATAATATGCATTGGAGAAAAAAAGCCTCTTTAATAAATGGTGTTAGAAAACTTGATTCAGATGTAGAAAAATTATACTAGACCCTTATCTGTTACCTTTCACAAAAAAATACATCCAAATTGGATAAAAGACTTTAATGTAAGACCTGAAATTTTGAAACTGTCAGGAGAAAACAGTTCAAGAATAGGCATAGGCAAGAACTTTCTGAATAGGAATCCAGTAGCTTAGGATTTAATGCCAACAAGTGGGAACTCATGGAATTCACAGAAGAGGAAACAATACAGTTAACTAATAGCCAATAGAATCAGGGAAAATATTTGCTAGCTATATATCTGACATGGGATTAATAATTAGAACATATGAGGAACTCAAACATCTAAGCAATATGAAATCAAACAACCCAGTCAATAAATGGCCTGATGAAATGAGCAGGCAGTGCTCAAATGATGAAACATGAATGGCCAATAAACTAATGAAAAATGTTCAAACTCATGGCCTGTCGGAGAAATACAAATTAAAATTATGTCTCACCCCAATCTCATAAAAAAATGCAAATTAAGGAAAAAATAATAACAAATTTTGGTGAGGATGTGGACCAAAGAGAGCGCTCATACACTGCTAGTAGGACTGATAACTAGTCCACCACTATGGAAATCAGTGTGGAGGTTCTAAAAAAAAAAAAAACTATTAAATCATATGACCTAGCTATACTGTCCTAGATATCTACCCAAAGAACTCCAAATCACCATATTACAGAAATACTTGAACATTAATATTTATTGCAGCAGTAGTCAAAATAGCTTAAGTTACAGAATCAACCTAGATGTCTAACAGCAAAGATAACAGAAGGATGGCTAAGGAAATTTACTATGTGTATGCAGTGGATATTAAATCATATGACCTAGCTATACTGTCCTAGATATCTACCCAAAGAACTCCAAATCACCATATTACAGAAATACTTGAACATTAATATTTATTGCAGCAGTAGTCAAAATAGCTTAAGTTACAGAATCAACCTAGATGTCTAACAGCAAAGATAACAGAAGGATGGCTAAGGAAATTTACTATGTGTATGCAGTGGAAGATTTCCACCCATAAAGAAGTACAAAGTTATGGGGTTTTTTTGTTTTTTTGTTTTTTTTTTTTGAAAATGGATGCAACCTCTTGAATGAATTAAGGAAGTCTCAGGCATATTATATGTTTTCTCTCATGTGCTTCCTAGATTTTATATAGATATATAATTATATATGCATGTATGACTTGAATACCAAAGTGAAACTGAACTCTTAGGGAACAAAGAGAACCAACAGGAGGGAGGACGAGTGAAAAGGGAGTGATAGGAGGTTACGATGGAGAGTATGTTCAACATAAAACATACACTTGTGTGAAAATGTTCTTATGTGACATAGTTCCATGTACAATGAATATACACAATGAAAAATTTAAAACCATAGTAAATATAAGTGAAAAATACAGGTAATAAAAAATCCAGGCCTAAAATCTTTAAAAATTGTGATCAATGGCTATAACATATATTGACTAATTTCAGATGTAATTTGTAGTGGCTCAAATGAGGAACATGTAGTGGCTCAGATGAATAAATGTGAATCAGTAAGCAAGTTTAAAAATAAGTGACTGATTTAGGGATTAAAAGATTATTGAAATGATACTAATATTTGGATAGTAGTGTTTTATTAATTTATCACTACAGTATGCCAAAATCTTTTTTTGGATTTATTCATTCATTTATTTATATTTATTTATTATTTATGGTGTGTGCATGTATGTGTTGTGTGATTATAGTGTATATGTGAAAATCAGAGAACAACTTTTGGGAGTCATTTCTCTCTTTACACTCTATGGGTTTCTAGGATTGAACTGAAGTCATCAGGGTTGGTGACAGGAGCCTTTATCCACTGAGTCACCTTGCTGGTTCTAAAGTTGTTGTTTTCCTTTTTGTTAAAAAAAAAATTAGCTATTGGGAAATAAGTTGCCAATACTTAGCTGCATTGAAGTGCTACTAATTTATTAGTATATACATAAATGTTATTACTGATTCTATATTTAGGGAGCTTTACCATACATATTCAATATATCTTTTATTATGTAGGATTGAGAAAAAAAATTGTTAATAAAATAACAGGTAGAATTTCCTAAGTTAAAGATCGTTTCTCAGGGGCTGGAGAAATGGCTCAGCAGTTAAGAGCATTGACTGCCTTTAAAGAGGACACAGATTTGGTTCCCATCATGCACATAGTGGCTAACAACCATCTGTCACTCCACTCCTAGGGAATCTGACACCCTCTTCTGGTCTCTGTAGGCATTGTGTGGCATACGTGTACTTATATATGCAGGCAAATTATACATACCCATAAAATTAAAAAATAAATAACTTTTTAAAATGATTGCTCCTCTAATTTTTCAATTATTAAAGTTTTCATGTGATGAGAACATTGCTGCATTTAATTTTCCTGATTATTTAGAAAAAGAACAAAATTATGGAGTCATGCTGTCTGTATATTCTAGAATAGTTAGTCTAAGGACAAGATCACAGAATTTAAAACCAACTGCCTGCATTTAAATCTCAGCTTCACACAATTTAGCTCTGAAAGGTAAGGAAAATGCTTTTCTTAGTTTCAGTTTCCTTTATAAAAATGGGCATAAGGTTGTTGAGAAGATTGTATGAGCTGTGCACATAAAGCACTTAGAATCTGATACCTGGTGTTTCTGTGTATGGTGGTGCATGCCTGTAATCCTAACACCGGCGAAGCTCAGGCATATGAATAAAGAGTCTGAGGCCAGCCTGGGCTATACCATAAGATTTCTTAAAGTAATACTTTGTGAATAGTAAGCACTCTGTAAAGCTTGAGTATTTACTGTAGTGGATCCCTGCCAGATAAATATTGTGTAGTAAGTCAAAGACATTAGCTAAAGTGTACTTTTCTGATCCAGTAATTTTGGAGTGCTTTTTGTTGAGAGTAATTTACATGTCATTTTGTTCTTTTGTTTTGGGTTGGCAGAAATATAATGTGCTGGCCATATGTCTTCTGTACAAGATACACAGGAAGTGGGCAGAAAATATCAAATATTTCTTTTCTTTTGGTATGAATTGTGTCTCATACTTTTGAATCTTTATTCCTTTACTTTCATTTTTTTCTTATTTTCCAGATTAGATTCAATTCTGAGAAAAGAAAAAAGCTGCTAACTGAGCATACTGTAACTGTGTAATAATGGATTCTTCCCTGGAAAACAGCATGTTTGTGAACAGAGTTTGGGTTCAGTGTGAGAACGAAAGCTGCCTGAAATGGAGATTGTTGTCAAGTGAAGCTGCCGCCACCATTGATCATGATGAACCATGGTATTGTTTCATGAACACTGATTCAACATTCAATAATTGCTCCATTTCTGAGGAAGATTTTCCTGAAGAGTTTCAGTTTAATGAAAGCGGGTATAAGTTTGTCTACTCGCTGCTTCCTCTTGGAAGCCTGGTTTTGGTTAAATTGCAGAATTGGCCAAGGTAAGATTTTTTGTTGTTTCTTATTATTTATTGTTTATTGTAGTCTTGCTACATTTATGAGTTTTAAAAAATGTTTTCAAAAATTCAACTCTTTCTCTTCTCTTTAGTTACTTAATTTGATTTATGATGTCATTTTTGCTCTTTTCCCTTCTTCCTTGGTTGAATTTATTGTTCTGGGTTTTAAAAAAAATATTTATTATTTTTAAGAAATTTATGAGTGTGTTGCCTGCATATGTGTAAAGTGCACCCATGTTGTGCAGGGCCAGCAGAAGTCAGAAGAGGGTGGAACTGGAACTGGAATTAGGGACTGTTTTTAGCCTCCATGTGGGTACTGGGAATGGAACCCAGGTCCTCTGCAAGAGCATTCAGTGCTCTAACCACCTTGTCATCTCTCCAGCCCTTTTTTCTGGCTTCTTAAATGGAGAGTTGGTAACTGAACTCATGTCATATGTTTGACTCTTCGTATAAACAAATTTATAGAATTTTTCTAAGCACTGTGACAAACAGATACATCGTATTTTATCATTCAATTTCAAATAGTAATTCTTCATTGAAATGGTTATTTATAAGTGTGTTTTACCTGTTGGTTGTTAGCCTTAGCCTTTAATGGTTGCATCATCTTTCTAGCCTGTAATTGTGTTTTTAAATCACCAAATATATGCCACTCTTAATATAGTTGCTCCCTAGATGCTTAAAAAGATTTTTTAATTTATGTAAATTTATCATAATATATTTCATAGTTTTTCATTCTGTGTTAAAATTTCTCAAGTATATTCTGTGTACTCTCACCACATGATTTCAAGTTCTTATTTTCAGTTGTGTTTTCTTCACTTATGAGCTACTACATTGGCTTTGGCACATGGCTTTGGTTTTCTTACTTCTGGGCTCCATATTACTTACAGTATATCATGTCTATCTTTGATATTGCTTTTTCTTAACTGTTTTCATCTTTTTTATTCTCTTAAAATTTGTGTTTTTCCTCTCCATATTTTATTTTTCTAGATGTATTACCAGTTGTTCTTGTATTCCTTTCAATTTAGCATTCCTTATTGAAGTTTTAAAAGTTTTCTTTAATGTTACTTTTTTCAAATCTTTATTCACCTGCTTTAAATTATTAGCTCTAATTTATATATGTATACATACATATATATGTATATGTACATTTATACCTACACTATTTTCTTTATTTCTGTTAGCACAGCATGAAATCTCAGGTACAATCTTACTCTTTTTTTTTTTTTTCAGTCTTACTCTCTTAAAATCATTCCTGTCTGACAAGCTTTCATCTTTTGATATTTTTATCTTATATTCTTTCTACCATACTAAATTATATTTATTTATTTTTATTTATTTATTTATTTATATTTCATGAGTGTGAGTGTCTTGACTACATGTATGTCAGTACACCATGTGCATGCAGTACCCACAGAGGCCTGAAGAAGGTGTCAGATCCCCTGGAACTGGAATTTGTAGACAGTAATTAGCTGTTATGTTGGTGCTGAGTACTAAACCTCTGTCCTCTGTAAAAGTAGCCAGTGCTTTTAACTGCTGAGGTATCTCTCCAGCTCCTACCCTATTAACTTAATATTAGATTCTCTTGTGAACCTGTAGGGAGAGAGGAGGCTGGGCAAATCAATTGATTTGTTGCATGATCTGCCTGGCCTGGCCTCAGAACTTTCCCCCAGCAACAAACTACAGACTGCTGGAATGCAGCTACTAAGGGGCCAAGTAATCCCCGGCTAAAGGCTGGAAACTCTTAGGTTCTGAAGGAATCCAAAGGCTGTGGCATTTGCTTCCCTCCACAGAAGGAGAGGCCACCAAACACTGTGCCTTCCATAGCTAGAGCTCCTTGCTGCCTAAACTTCTTAACATCTTGGTTCTGATCTCCCAGCCTTCAACACTACTTCTGTGGCCATCTCCCACCCAGATACTGTCACAGGGTGTCCCTGGGCTTCCTTGCTTTCAGTTCCCTAGAGCCTAGTCTCAAACTACAGGCCTCTTCTCCATCTAGATGGTGCCTAGGTATTGTACTCCAGGAGATGGGGACAGAAGCAATGGATTTCTTCTCTAAGCTAGCCTGCCATGCAGCAGGAATCATAGTCACATTAAATTCTGCACTTGATTTAAGGCTTCTGAGCCCAAGATTTCTCCTGTGACTAGGCCTGCCAGTATGTTGTCAACAGGGCCCCTTGGCTTACTCTCTGTTCTGGCTTCTGTTTTTCCTTGCTCTTCGCAGAGCAAAGGGTGGAGTTGTAGAAAATACACCTTTGTATTTCTCCATGCGTTTTAGCTATTCTGTCACCTCTTTGTTTAATTCTCCCTTCTCTTTTTCTCCTTTTTAGCCTGGCTCTGCTCATTCATGGAATCTCATAGAGGAAACTTCTAATCTGTATGCAAACAAAATTCCCTTGCTCTTACTGATCCTATTTTCTTTGATTTTATTTTACTCTCAGTAGTTTTCAATTAGAGTTAACTTTTTTCCAAGAAATGATCTGTTAGTTTAATGCCCCTCATTGCTCCAACACATTCAGAATTGGTTGTTGTCCCTTTGCAGTTTTGCTCTCAGATCAGTCTCCTGGACTTTGAAGTGTAGCTTGCCACCCACTGTTTTGAGGTTTTTATTTTCCAACGCCACCTAATGATCTGTGGTTGCTATTCTTAACCACGCTTCTTTCTCTTACATGGATACTAATAGTGCATAGTTCTTACAGATAGTTGTAACTACTGATCCCATTGTAGTGTTCCTACAGAAATCTTATCATTAAGTTTTATCATAGGTGTTATATGACAGGATAGTATCACCACTATGTTTGCTTTACCTGTATTTCTGGGGAAATTCCAGGGGCTTCTGAAACTATACCACCATTGCTGCTGTTATCTTTTCAGAACCTCTTACTCTGTTTTACATCACAAAACTGAGGTGTTTGGCTTTTTTTCTTATTTTCATTCCCATTCTATTAAGACAATAAAAAGTTGTAATAGAGGAGCTGAGTAGCCTATTTTGATATATACATACATGCAACAGGCCTTCAAGTCAATCTGTAGATTCATATTCTTGCTCCAGCTGTTTTGTGTTGAACAGTGAGTCCTAAAAGTTCATAAGATAAATGAAGCCCTAACTCCTAGAACCTCAGAATGTGACTATGTTTATAGTCTTTTAACAAGGTGATTAACAAAAAGACCATTGGAGTAGGCCATAATCCAATCTAGCTGATGTTCTTGTAGGAAAGGGAATTTAGATACAAGAGAATCATTAGGAATGCATGTTCAGAGTGTAAAGACCATGTGATAATTTTGTAAAACAGTGGTCATCTATCAGCTTGGGAGATAGACCAGAGGAAAATGAAACTGTCCTTATATTGATCTTGAACTGCAAGCCCACAGAAAGTGAATTTCTGTTACTTAACCCAATAAGTCTGTGGTATTTTGTTATAATAGCCCCAGCAGACTAATACATTTACTACCTAAGCAAATGGTTGAAATCTGTTTAAGAATGTGTGCCCTTTGTTTATGAGGGCTTTTCTGGGGTTTAAATGTGACAATATTATAAAAATTACATAACATGGCTTTAATTGGTATATAAGTATAATGGTTTGAATGAGAATGGCCCCCATAGGCTCCAAATATTTGGACATTTTGTCCCCAGTTGGTGGTACTGTCTTGGGAGGTCTTAGAAGGTGTGGCCATGCTGGAGGACACAGATCACTGGGGGGTGGGCCTAGAGAGTTTTTAAGCCTTGCTGGTTCTCGAGTCACACTCTTGCTTCCTGTGCCTGCTTGAAGATGTGAGTGCTTTGCTTTCTGTTCCTGTTCCAGCCACCTGCTGCCATCATGCCTCCCCACCATGAAAGACTGTAATTCCCCTGGAACTGTAAGCTTAAATAACCTCTTCCTTCTAAAAGTTGCTTTGGTCAGTGACTCTATCACAGCAGCTGATGAAGAAAAGTAACTGATATAATAAGCATAAATAAGTATACATATGAATATGAACTCTTAATGAAGTTATTCATTAAGATAGAGTTCTTTATAATGTTTAGCATTTTGAAAGCAGAGTCTATATTCTCAAGTAGAGTTTTAATAACTATAATTCAAGAGACTGATTTGTTTTTAATCAATCTATATATTTGAAAAACTTTTAGAAATGAAATTAGGAGGGCATGGAGAGATGGCTCAGCAGTTAAGAACACTGACTGCTCTTGCAGAGGACCCAGGTTTGATTCCAGCACCCACATGGTGGCTAACAACTGTCTGAACTCCAGGTCCAGGGGACCTGACACCCTCTTCTGACCTCCATGAGCCCTGTACAACCGACATGGGTGCATCTGCCTACATGCAAGAAATATACATATACACATACAATAAAGGCACATGCCTTTAATCCCAGCACTCAGGAGGCAGAGGCAGGCGGATCTCTGTGAGTTCAAGGCCAGCCTGGTCTACATAGTGATTTCCAGGACAGCTGGGGCTACAGGGAGACCCTGTCTCAAAAAGTCCCCCAAAAATAAATAAATAAATACATTATTTTTTTAAAAGATAAAAAAGCTGAGTGTGGTGGCGCATGCCTTTAAGCCCAGCACTCGGGAGGCAGAGGCAGGTGGATCTCTGTGAGTTCAAAACCAGCCTGGTCTACATAGCGAGTTCCAAGACAGCTGGGGCTAGAGGGAGACCCTGTCTCAAAAAGACCAAAAAAAAAGATAAAAAAGAAATGTAATTAGGAATTTGTAGCTTGGGAATAGGACCTAAAACATGTTTTATTCCAGTCTCTATATTTAATATAAGATTAGGGCCATCAACATGCCTGAAAACTACAGCAATGTCTATGTTTTTAGGAGAATAGATGAATTTGACTAAGTATCACTTATGTTTCTCTTTATGAGCTAAGTTGACTATAAATTTAAATTTCAAATTAAGAAACTCAAACCTGCTTATATTGTTTATTCAATAGCATAAATGCATAGAAAGATAGTAAGAGAAATTACAAAGGTAAAATATAAAGATAGA